TGTTAGTGAGGCAAAAAAGGGCACAGCCAAAAGGGAACATAGAATATTCTGACCAATCAAAAATCACACAAAAATACATCTAACACAAGATCACATAAGGCATCATAATCCTTTTCTTCCAAAACCTACTTTGGTTGGGGGAAGAGCACATGGAACATTGTTAGTGAGGCAAAAGAAGGGCACAACAAACAGTGAACATACATGTACCATTGTTCGAAATACCTGTCTGCAATCTGCAGATAGATTTTCAAGATTGCAGAAGAAAAATTGATACAATCTGCAATTTTGCAGCAGGAAAAATTGGCACTTGGGATTTGACGCTTTTGGCCCCAAGGACAGACAACAATTAAGCTCCTGTTCTGAAACAACAGGAGCTTCTTCACTAATTTGCATCAACCTGGTCTTGACTTGTTTATCTTTTGTTTCCTTTTGGACTTCCAAAAATTTGTCTTCACTAATTTGCATATCAATCAATAGTTCATGCTTATAAACCTGCAAGATTGTAGTATGGAGGCTTGTGTATTTGCAGAAGGTATTTCCAAATTGCAGAACAAAATTTTTACTCAGCTCTGAAAAAAAGTATTTTGACCACTGTGTACTTAGTATATCATAACCAAACAACACTCACAAATATGATCACATATCAAGATATCACAATCCATTTGTTTCCAAACCTTCATTCGTTGTGGGAAGAACACATGGAACATTGTTCAGGCAAAACATGAGCACAGCCAACAGTGAACATAGTACTGACCAAACAACAATCACATTATTTTATACATCTCACATAAGATATCACAATCCAAGTAACAACATGATATGCATCTCATGTAACCATTGCACATACATATAACAATATAACATTGCAAACATTACATATTATGTAAAAAATAAAACACAAGATGTAAAAAGTAGAAAACTAAGACTACAGTGACAAAGTCATCAAACTTTACTGACTCACAAAGTGAAACAATTTTAGTCATGTCAATGGGGTTGAAAATCTAACAATCATATATAGCATCATATAAATGTAGTTTGCACAAATCTAGTATGATCATGCATACAAACGTATTTCACACAAATCTAGCATGATAATACATGTGCATAGTCTTACACATTTAGTTTATGAATGATTTCATCATCATTCATTTTACCTCAGGCCTGATTTTACCTTGGAGTAGTCATGAATCTTTGTTTTGCAGCTAACTGCCTCTTGCTCCAGTCAACCCAGCTGAGCATATCATCTGCCTGATGAAAGACATTCAAAATGTCCCCAATTCAAGTCCTTCCTCGGCACACAACTGTTTAATGTCACGCATCACGCTCACCAGTGTGTTCAGGCCTGCTGCACTCACCCTCGTCCTTGTCTGTGTCCTGTAGCTCCCCCAGGAGAGTGGATGCATCCTTCTCCCAATCCCTCACCTGTCACAGGTTGACAGATCTTCATCGATAGCAGCCAGCTCCCCGAAGTTACAACCAAACAGTCCTGTGGAATTTGGTTGGTCTGCAGTGTCCACACTAGTCTGATCCTCTTCTGCTCCCTCTGTGTCAGCACTGACTGCTACAAAATGATTAAAAAAAACAACAATTGAAAATAAAGACAATTTACAATGTTTACAACATTGCATTTATACCGCTCAACAACTGGTTAATATGCATAGAAAAATCCTGACCTGTTCCAGACCAAAACACCGCTTCTCTTGCAGTCAAGCTTATGGTGGATTCTTGGTGTCTTTTCTACCTGCAAATTTACCTTCCTGATCACTATGAGACGTATATCATAACCCTGGATACGGTCTTTGATACATAAAACAACTCTGTTACCGCCCCCCTCCCCCCTCGAAAATATTACCGGTCGTCTGTCTACCCTCCTTCTATGGCCTTCTATCTATCACCTTATCCATGTCATCCTCTACACAAACGGTACTATCGTGTCCCCTCTGTATGCTATCGGCCTCGGAACACTTTTGGTTTACATTGAAACGCATAGAATTTGACCAAAACACAACAAACCACGTTTCAAGCAAAGCTGTTCAGGTCAGGGGTCACATAAAAGCGCCCCTCAGCGGATTATGTACAAAATGCACCTCTTACGATTGGTGTAGTTTTTCTATTTCAGGATCATTAATTTCACCCTCATTGAATAGAAATTGATTGACCCATGTTCAAATAACTGGTGTGGGTACGGTGCAAAAAATTGAATAAATACAAGTGCCTTTTTATCTTCCTTACTGGACTACATAAAAGCGCCCCCTTCGGTTGCTTAACTTGGTGCAGCGTTAACTCGTGGGGGACAATTGCCGCAATTTATTTTCAACATTCTGTCTTTTTGCTTCATTCACCTGAGAGGAGAATTACCTACAATAGTCAAGAGAGTATCTACGACGATTTAAAGTACAACTTACCACCAAAGCGGACGTGGCGCGTCTTCCTGGGCGGAATTTTTACCCAGCTCGTTCTTCCCTTCCATGCACCGTGACTCGCCATCTTGGAAAGGCGTGTTTCACGCACGTGTCATGCCACCTGTAAATCACGAGCAAAATTTGCATTCGATAATCAAGTTAAGATATAAGATTAATAATGACAGGCCAATAGGAAATCACCACCAGAAAAATACGATGTCTTAATTATGGCTTTAATCTTACGAATTCTTAATTCTAAATTTTTCTATCCTCATCCATTTTACTTAAGGCGTCGAGGAAAAAAATTATTTTTTTTACCCATTTATCTTCTGATTGCGGTAAGAACATTTTCTAGCTAGTAGTAGGTGACAAATTACAAACATTACAGTTATTGCAACAATTGCCTTTATTATTTCTCTTTATCGACGATTGTTAAACTAAAAATCCAATTCTTCCCATATCATAGTATCAACGATAAGATCACAAAGTTACAAAATATAGCCGAATATAACCGAAACGTCCGCAATTTGTGACTAAAAGGACTTAGATTTTCAAACGTTAGTCAATAAAATGGTTATGTGATAGGTTTTAGCTGAGCAATGATTCAATTATAAGGACGACCAATCAAAACATCGGATTTCGTCTTATAATGAGGCTCAAAAATATGCATATATTAAGTCCAGGTGGCGCATTACGTCATGCGATGTAGTTACGCAGTCCTCCAGGTGACCTGTGTAGATATGCTGGGTTAAATCATGGAGGTAGAAAAAAGTCCTTTTTTCTACCTCCATGGTTAAATGTAGGCAGGAATGGGTGTAAACATTGGCGTTTAAAGTAAAAATAGCACAAGCAATTACAGAACTAGTTGTTGCAATGTTTTCTATATGATCCATTCTTCACGTGTAGTTGTTTTCTTGACGGTTAGAACTGATAGTAAGAACAAAATCAAGGAAACTATGTTTAGTAACGAAAAATTAAACAAACATCAATTAAACGCATAAACGCATAAACTTTTCATTCCAGTTTTCCCGCCAAACCCTTTCTAGAAGTGTAATAATTCATACCTGAGGTGTCCAGAAGAATCTTTCCATCCCTGGTGAACGTGCACCTTTCTTTAAAAAGTTCACTCCCTCACATTTTTAGTTAATTGGATGCTGTGATGCATCCACAGGCGCCATAACACACGTGTCAATGAGGGCCTCTAGCAGTTCACGGAATTATTGCAGGTACTTGAGGAGATTTTTTACATGCAATAATTTCACCGACTGCTAGAAGTCGCTTTTGATACATGGCGCAGAGGGTCATTAACCGATGTATCCTTGATGCTGATTGGTCTCATCATGTCTATGTGTTTAAGTCGTCGAGCCCGATTGGATAATAAAGAGAAACAATTATGACGTCTGCCTCTTTGACCAAATATGGACAACAGACTCAAAGCTATAAAGCCGCTTTACTTTTCATGTAAACAACTGAGGTTACGATGGACTTTCTGACGAACGGGAGTATTTTAGGCAGTTATTTTCCCCCAGATAAGCTACTGAGTCGTAAGAACTGACTCTACAAAGAAAAGCAGCCGATTTATGAGGTTAGGGGAGGTGAAAATGCTCGGCAACCACGTAATATTCTTACGAACAGGGGAGGGGGACTTTCAGCACCAAGGACAGCTACAGGGATAGTTTCAGTTTGAACCTTCATGACTACAAACTGAATATTAATACACCGACTGCAATATACAAAGGAAATCAATTTGTGAATTTTTCAATTTTCAGTGTCGATCTCAATATCATATGAATGGAAACAGTCGCTGCCAGGCGTATAACTATGGCAATCCCCAAGCTGTTACGATTTTGCCTTCCACCATGCATCTGCTTGGTTTACATTCATATGGCACGGATCGACACGGAAAATTCACTTCTGCCAAGACTGTGACCATTTCTTCAAGCGATCAGCTGATCGCAAAATCACATTTTTACTTGTAAGTTGAGAATGAAGGAAATTTGGGCAAAGGCAATATGTAGGAATAGAAAGGAGACCATACGGACTAACTCTGAAAACAAGGAGGCAGAAAAATGCCAAAGGTTGTTTTCTAAAATCAAATGTTGACCAGTCAAAGCCTTAGAAGTGACCACTATGGTCTGGTCACCATGCTACAGCTTTGGCTGTAGTTCTAATGAAATAGATATGTTTTATAAAATTGCAACATTATGTAACCCAAAATGATGTTATCATGGTGACCTCTGGTTCAGGTCGTTGACCTTATTTGTTTGGACGAAAAGAAGAGAAAACAGAGCAAAAACAATATGTTTTCTTTTGGTAATTTACCAAAAGAAAACATATTGTTTTTGCTCTGTTTTCTCTTCTTTTCGTCCAAACAAATAAGGTCAACGACCTGAACCAGAGGTCACCATGATAACATCATTTGGGTTACATAATGTTGCAATTTTATAGCAGGAGGGATTTAGACTCGTGTCTGATCATACATATGAATGTGTTTGAGTAAGGATTAACAGAGCAGGTACCAAGTACATGTACCTCATAGTTTGCATTTTAAGGTATACTAGTAATCAAATCAAAGCAAGGAAAACAATGACACACGCATTGTTTGGTAGTAAAATATGTATTGATTTCGGATTATATTTATTTACATGTATGAAAATATACATTATAATCAGTATCATAACACCTTAACAATAAAGGTGCTACACCTAATAGTACTGGAATAAAGATAACCAAACCTGAATGTATGAGTAAAATATGGATGAATAAAGTTGGGAATGTGAATAACAGCACACTACCTGAGTTTAGAACTATGCATATTTTTATCCTTTACAGCATTATAGGTTATTTTATGAAATACATCCATTCCCACACATACTTTCATGACAGCTGAAAAAGCTGTTTAGGACCATGTAAACCACCAATATAGCACATAATTTCGTTTAAGTTGTGGCAACTTTTTTACCTGTGCTGTTGCATGAAAATCGGTACCAGAAAGGATGTTATTCATACTACTGATGCTGCATGGCAATGTACAAACTGAACATAGTAACTGTACAATTCAACAGCATTTTCATAAATAAAACATACACGTATGTCACTAAATGCAGTTCAGCACATATTGAGTAACTGGTCCCAAGGCTGTATACGTGCGTATCACGTATCACTTCTTTACTTATATTTTACGCATCATACAAATATACAGGACAATATCAACAACATGATCATCATTGGCCTGGAACTTAATTTACTAAATAATAATACTGGTATTTGATCAAGTACTGAAAAAATTAAGTACGTACAACAAGTTTGCCTGAAAGCGTCGCCTTTTCTGACATAAAGCAAGAATAAATACCAGTACTGGATGATTTACAGACTAAATAATACATGATGCCCTCTACACAAAGATAGTTACTTATATCCAAAGAAAAGGTATGTTTCGCTATGACTTAAGACAGAATTAAACAGTACAGCTTTTGGTAACTTAATCAATTTAACATTTTTTGCGGTAAAAATTATGTGAATATCAAAATACACTGTCATGGCAATGTTACCAATGTCAAAACTAAAGTTTACGGCTAGAGGTGTTTTCTATGTACAATACCATTGATTCCATGTAACACACAATGTTATTGCATCCAATATGGTAAAATCAAGCCTAAGAGCAATACATAAAATTGCAACAATCTCCTCTTCAAGGTAAATTTAACAAATATAAGTTATTAAGTAATTACAAGATGGCTGATTTAAAAAGATTAATTGCAATACCATTTCTAAATGTGGACATTGCCACTTGAGTATTCCCAAGCAATAACATCAAATTTTACAAAGGAACAGGTTTTAACAAAATAAAACTGGCAGTTTCCACAGTAAGCATGAAACAACTTCTTTGTTTCATATCATTAATCTCAGTTTCTACAACTATAAATATAATCATAACTATGCAGTATTAAAACATACTTTTGTAAAGAAAACAGCAACAACATAAAATATAAGAACAGTCTTTACGCTTCAGATACAAAACAATTCTATTTTTCTAGCATCTTTCATGGAATGTAACTGCATTTTTCAAGGATGACTACAAATAGAACAAAGGGAAGACACAGGCAGTGTCAGACAATACCTCTCAACATGACACACAGACAGAAAACCACAGTAGCTGCCTCCAACTTCAGACTTTACCTGTAGAAATCCAACTTTTGATACAAGACTCACTTGACATCATTTTCTCATATCAAAATAAGTACTTACGCGACTCAGAAACACCCCCACAAACTCTGTAGAATAATCCTAAGAGGCCAGAACCACAACAGACATCAAGGTGGTCTCACTTGCCGACGGGGGTGTGCAGGCTACCATGCTGCCTTTTTCCCCTCCCATCTTTCCTCTTCAAACTCGGACTCGTTGTCCGAGCTGTACCCCTCGTTGTAGTGCCCGTAGTCCCCTCCCCCCGGACCGCCCCTTCCCTTTCCCCTTCCCTTTCCCCTTCCCCTTGCCCTTTGTCCTGGTTTTCCTCAGGATGTGACCGGTTTTCACCAGTCCCTTTCTCTCCCCCTCCGTTTCCACGTAGTGTAAAGTGTAGCTGCCCAGCTCGTACTCCTCGGAGCAGCTTTCCGGTACGTTTCCCGGTAAGGGCGGGAAACAGTTGCCGGGTCTGAGCACCTCCGCCGCATCACTGTCCGTCACGATGGAGGAAGGCGGGAGTTTCTGAGGTAGATCGCGAGAGGAGTTCGCGCTGCTGGAGGTCGTGTGTGTGCTGTCTACGTCCACACTACTGTCACTGAAAGTTCTCCTGGGTAAGGGTCTACGACTGCTGGATAAGTGGGGAGGGGTTCTCTGAGAGGAGCTGTCTTGGAGGTTACCACCCCTTTCAAACTGCAAGGCACCTGCAAAAATTGAAGAAGACAACAATCATGAAATAACAGCTCTGTGTACTTCCTATCCTGCTTTCCCCTCAAGTTTTTTTGAACTGGTATTGCTAATATCATGCTAATATTTCACCTAAATCATTTCAAAACAAATCACCGTTAACAAATAATTCCTCAACTTTCTTTTTTCTGCAGTTGTCAACACCATTAACATTCAGTTGTGTGAACAGGTCCATTTTTCTCTGACTGCGAACTTTTGCTACCGTCAACATAAAGTGAATTACAGTAGTACCTGGAGGCTCAAGTGGCCGAGGGAAGCTGATTTTTCCCTTCTTGGTGTCGAGCTGCGGTAGCTTTGCTGCAGCGTGCTGCCTGTACAACTCCTGCCGCAGCAGCGCGGTCGCGGAATCTCCACTCAGACTTCCCTCCTGCAGCTGCGAACTGGTGTACGACCCCTGCAGGTCAAACTGGGAGTCCCCGTGGCTGGCCTGCAGGTCGGGGTGGGAGAGGGTGGTCCCCTGTAAGTCAGACTGGGAATCCCCGTAGCTGCTGGGGAGGGTTTCTGACAGGCACTGGCTGGAGCTGACCGACACGACCTGCTCCGGACGCTGCAGCTGCAACTGCCGGAATATCTCAAGCTCCAACTGAGATCTGAAAAAGAATAACAAAACATAAAATTTCAGACATTCTAAAAAGCTCACCCTAAACTTCTTGGCCAGAGTTCTGGGCTAAAAAGTAAAACTCACACGGCATAGTCATCGTGCCTCAATGTACGTTAGACATAGAAGTTGTGGAAAAAATGCAGTCACTGCGTAACATCATATCGGGCTAAAATCATCTAGCTACCAGAGTATCTAACTTGAGCTACTAGTATTTTTCCTCAATTAGCAGAAATGGCTGGATTGCCTAGCCCATTATAAACTTTGACTGATGATACATTAACCAGTTAACTACACCAATGTATTAACAATAAGCTATAAGCTGTTTTTCATTGGCATAAATGACTGGGTTGTCTGATTCTCTAATCACAAGCTGCAATTAATGATAAGTTAATCAGTTAACTAGATAACCAATGTGTTAACCTCAGCTGTTTTTCCTTGGCATCGATGGCTGGGAGGTCTGACTCCCTAACTAGAAAGCTCTGGTTAATGATAAGTTAATCAGTTAACTGGATAACCAATGTGTTAACCTGAGCTGTTTTCCTTGGCAATGATGGCTGGGAGGTCTGACTCCCTAACTAGAAAGCTCTGGTTAATGATAAGTTAACCAGTTAACCAGATAACCAGTGTGTTAACCTGAGCTGTTTTTCCTTAGCATCGATGGCTGGGAGGTCTGACTCCCTAACTAGAAAGCTCTGGTTAATGATAAGTTAATCAGTTAACTAGATAACCAATGTGTTAACCTGAGTTGTTTTTCCTTGGCTGAGAAGGCAGGGTTGTCCGACTCCTTTCTCTGCTGCATCAGGGTGGACATATCCGGTTCTGTCTGGTACAGACCGGCTTCAATCTTCTCACAGCGCTCCTGCAGCCGCTGGTCCTCGTAGGGCCGGATCTGTAACCATGACAACAGGCATGTTTCCATGGAAATGGCACAACTCACTTGTACACAATCATCAGTCTCATAAAAGGCTTGTTCTCATGTAAATGTGCAAGATGCTGTCACCACTCTTTATGACTAGATATGAGCCAAAAGAAACAAAGGTACTGTTTTTGTGCAGCAAACCAGGGGAAGACATACTAACCATAAAAACAAAATTGTTAGTAATATGTATCACAGAATTTGGTCTTCACATTACTGTCTTTCAAATATAGGTATTGTTATTGCTATGTTTCCCATAATTTATGACAGAACCTACACATTTTATCCTATAATGTGGCACCATTCTGTTAGTGTTAAGAAACTTACTACTGAACAAACCAACATTATAATTTTTTATAAAAACTGAAACAAAACTATTTGGCAAAGGTAATTCAACATCTTAACCCTTTTAATCTCTGATTGTCAGATGTCAAAAAACACATTGACTTTAGTATGCCATACAATACATGTACAAAATGTAGTGTACATGCAGTAATACAGCTAGAGACCAGTGTCACTTTTTTTGACTGGGTTATGAGCCTCCCCATTGCAAGGCCTTCTCATTGTACAGTTAGTTGCTTGCAATGGCAGCCATACTGATGATACCTTTATCTCATGGTGTTTTACATTAGATATCACAATGGCAAAATGTCAAGAAATCTAACATGAACACACACGTGAAACTGCTTGTACATCAAATTAAAGCTGGCATAACAACATACAAGTTGGATAACACGGAACAACGAATGTGAGGACAAGCACACAAGATGGAGCAACACAAAACAATGTTTTGCACACACAGTTATGTATTATTTGATGGAAATGCTAAACAAGTGAGGAAATTAAATATGAAGTCTTAGTGCATACATGTACAAGTCTGCATTTTCCATTTAGTTTGCCATAGTTTTTAACAAGTTATACATGTACATTTCTACATGACACTATACTGTATTGAGAGAGTAGCAAAAACAAAGACTGAAACTTTGAATTACAAAATTACGTGAAAGTTGTTATTTGATAGCAGATAGTTATATTACAGCAGATAGAATAGACAGAGCAGCTGGAAAGAGTTAGAAGAAAAGCTGATCTTGAGAAGACCTTGCCCCCGCTCACCTCCGAACCACCACTAGAAATGCCATCGTCCCCTACCCCATAGAACACGTCAATGTCGTAACACGAGCACGGCTTGTCCAGGATTCCCTCCTGGCTACAGATGGCGTTCATCCGGAAAAACAACTCGTCCACCTGGTACTCAAACTCCGCCATGGTGTACTCCTGGAGACAGGGTAAAAACAACACTCTCAACATATATTATTTATCATATAGAAAAACAACTTGTCCACCTGGTACTCAAACTCTGCCATGGTGTACTCCTGGAGACAGGGAAAAAACAACACTCTCAACATATATTATTGATCATATAGAAAAACAACTCGTCAACCTGGTACTCAAACTCTGCCATGGTGTACTCCTGGAGACAGGGAAAAAACAACATTCTCAACATATATTATTTATCATACAGAAAAACAACTCATCAACCTGGTACTTAAACTCCGCCATGGTGTACTCCTGAAGACAGGAAAAAACAACATTCTCAACATATACAGTACCGTTCGCGTTATAGTTACCCTAACGGCCGTTACTAACGCGTTTTTTTTCCGTTACTTTTCCGTTACTTTTCCGTAAGTTTTCCGTAACTTTTGCGTAAGTTTTCCGTTACTTTTCCGTTACTTTTCCGTTAGACTTCTGCATTCATATGCAGGCCGCGGTAACATCACAGAATAATGGGAGGAGTACTAATTTACCTCATGCGGGGCGGGAAATTACCGATACACACCGCTGGAACAGCGGAAGGAACGTTGATCTAGCCTGCATTTTACTATATTGTAACGTTTAAAACGTTTTACGATCACCGGCGCAATTCAATTTGATAGACATTTTCTTTTGTCACTGTTGCCCAGGCAAGCGTTTCTATAGTTTGTCAACTTTGTTTTGCTGTTTTTCTCTGTTAACTTATTTTACCACCGAATAAGCAAACCTACAGTAGATGATCTGAAGTTATAAATGCCCCGGTCCGCCGTACATAATAGGCGGCGGGCGTGAGGTAACGTTAGGGATGTGCAAAAACATCGTGGAAAATTCCTATGACACTCGAAAAAAGGCAGCATATTTACACGTGCCCACCAACATTTTTATAGCTAATTATTGACCAGTTTTGGGGAGTTTTGTTATGTCCTTGGAGTTTTGTTTAGAGTGGGACGGAAAGCCGTGCCGCCACTCCGACTCCATGCACTTCCGTGTTACATTACGTTGTATGTGACCAACAAAATTACGCCAAAGGCACAGCAAATCCACATGTACATATATTTTTTCCCGAAAATTCTTTTGAGTACGCATTTCGTCACTAGGATGTTGCTAATTAGTCGTAGAAATAAGGTAGAACCAGCGTAATAGTGGCTCTCTCGAGATCATTTCGTCGCGGGGAAGGGGCGCCCCAGCATGCAACGGGCTTCGTTCTAGCCAATCACAGCGCAGGTCATCTAAGGTGAACCAATCAGAGCGTAGCTACTTGCATATTATAATGAGCATGCTGCACACAGGGAGGCAGCGGCCAGGGCGACCGGCCCTGAGTGCGCGGGAATGTGTTTTGCAACTATATTTTTACGGGGATTTTCTGACGTTTGACGCTGACTTTGGCACGATATGATCGCACTACCATGTACACGCTACCGTAGGCGGCAAATGAGTGGTCATTTTTATATAATCGTCGAGAAATTTTGGCGTTATGCACCCGGAAGTGAGCCGATCTCAGTTTGCGTTCCCTCGATTTTTGACAGTTTCCCCCCTCAAAATAAGAAACAAAACTACCGCTATTAAATAGAACCATGTATTACAATTATCATTTCAACATGATAGATCTATTATATATTCCTTTATTAACTATGATATCATCATGGTTGTGGAAAGTCCTCAGCTGGCGAACCGAGTCCTTGCGCCGGGAGTGACGGTACATTTTACCGTGAGTATTAAAGCCGCTAGTACTAGTAAGCCGCGCGCCTTACAAAAATTATAATAATTTTTCTTTTGAGTCAAAAACCGCCGTGAATTTAAGGCATGAGTTACCGATTTATATTTCTTCTACGGCAGATATTTCTTGTTTCGTCACGTCCCATGACGTCCTGTGAGAGCGGTAGGCCGCCGCTGGTACAAAATGTACAAGACATCGTCTGCCCACTGCTACACTTTGTTGACATACATTGTATTACACTACGTAATTTTCCGCTAGAAATAACTATAGAATAGCATTAAAAGATAGCACAATTCGCTTCACACAGTCGACACATGGATAAACCACAAAGTTATTTTACGAATCACATGTCCACTTGCCTCTGGTGCTGTTATTTTTCAAGGGGCAACATCGCAACACATTAGCGGACGCCCCAGGAGGTGGCAAATTGCTATTGTCTTGTCGGCGCGCAAAACAAACATGAAATCCGACCCTATCACATTAACGCAAACGGTAACGCGTTAGAAATAATTTCTGACGATTTTCTAACCATTTTCTGACGAAAATCTAACCAAATACTGACGATTTTCTAACCATTTTCTGACGAAAAAATAACTCGTT